ACACTATACCCGTTCATCCCCTGTAACTTGTTCATCACCTCTGTAACTTTTTCATCACCTCTGTAACTTGTTCATCACCTCTGTAACTTGTTCATCACCACAGTAAATTGTTCATCACCACTGTAACTTGTTCATCACCTCTGTAACTTGTTCATCACCTCTGTAACTTGTTCATCACCTCTGTAACTTGTTCATCACCTCTGTAACTTGTTCATCACCTTTGTAACTTGTTCATCACCACTGTAACTTGTTCATCAACACTGTAACTTGTTCATCCCCACTGTAACTTGTTCATCACCACTGTAACTTGTTCATCACCACCGTAACCTGTTCATCTGCTCTGTACCTTGTTCATCACCTCTGTAACTTGTTCATCACCACTGTAACTTGTTCATCACCAATGTAACTTGTTCATCACCTCTGTAACTTGTTCATCACCTCTGTAACTTGTTCATCACCACTGTAACTTGTTCATCACCACTGTAACTTGTTCATCACCTCTGTAACTTGTTCATCACCTCTGTAACTTGTTCATCACCACTGTAACTTGTTCAGCTATCAAAACTTGGTTGGCACAGTCCCTGGACCCATTATGTACATTATCAATATTCTGACTACAACCCACACCATGGGTATGTGGTAACTACCAACCTCACCATGGGTGTGTGGTAACTACCACCCTCACCATGGATGTGTGGTAACTACCACCCTCACCATGGGTGTGTGGTAACTACCACCCACACCATGGGTGTGTGGTAACTACCACCCTCACCATGGGTGTGTGGTAACTACCACCCTCACCATGGGTGTGTGGTGACTTCCACCCACACCGTTTGTATGTGCTGACTACCACCCACACCATTTGTGTGTGGTGAACACCACCCACACCATGGCTGTGTGGTAACTACCACCTTCACCATGGGTGTGTGGTGACTACCACCCACACCATGGCTGTGTGGCAACTACCACCCACAAAATGGGTGTGCAGTGATTATCACCCACACCATGGGTGTGTGGTGACTACCACCGACACCATGGCTGTGTGGTAACTACCACCCACACCATGGGTGTGTGGTGACTATCACCCACACCATGGGTGTGTGGTGACTACCACCCACACCATGGGTGTGTGGTAACTACCACCCACACCATGGGTGTGTGGTGACTACCACCCACACCATGGGTGTGTGGTAACTACCACCCACACCATGGGTGTGTGGTAACTACCACCCTCACCATGGGTGTGTGGTAATTACCACCCACACCATGGGTGTGTGGTGACTACCACCCACACCATGGGTGTGTGGTAACTACCACCCACACCATGGCTGTGTGGTAACTACCACCCACACCATGGGTGTTTCGTGACTATCACCCACACCATGGGTGTGTGGTAACTACCACGCACAACATGGGTGTGAGGTGACTACCACCCACACCATGGGTGTTTCGTGACTACCACCCATACCATGGGTGTGTGGTGACTACCACCCACACCATGGGTGTGTGGTGACTACAACCCACACCATGGGTGTGTGGTGACTACCACCCTCACCATGGGTGTGTGGTGACTACCACCCTCACCATGGGTGTGTGGTGACTACCACTCACACCATGGGTGTGTGGTGACTACCACCCACACCATGGGTGTGTGGTAACTACCACCCACACCATGGGTGTGGTGACTACCACCCACACCATGGGTGTGTGGTGACTACCACCCACACCATGGGTGTGTGGTGACTACCACCCACATCATGGGTATGTAGTAACTACCACCCACATCGTGGGTATGTAGTAACTACCACCCACATCATGGGTATGTAGTAACTACCACCCACATCATGGGTATGTAGTAACTACCACCCACATCATGGGTATGTAGTAACTACCACCCACATCGTGGGTAGTAGTAACTACCACCCACATCATGGCTATGTAGTAACTACCACCCACATCATGGGTATGTAGTAACTACCATCCACATCATGGGTATGTAGTAACTACCACCCACATCATGGGTATGTAGTAACTACCACCCACATCGCGGGTATGTAGTAACTACCACCCACATCATGGCTATGTAGTAACTACCACCCACATCATGGGTATGTAGTAACTACCATCCACATCATGGGTATGTAGTAACTTCCATCCACATCATGGGTATGTAGTTACCACCCACATCATGGGTATGTAGTATCTACCACCCACATCATGGGTACGTAGTAACTACCACCCACATCATGGGTATGTAGTAACAACCACCCACATCATGGGTATGTAGTAACTACCACCCACATCATGGGTATGTAGTAACTACCACCCACATCATTGGTATGAGTAACTGCCACCCACATCATGGGTATGTAGTAACTACCACCCACATCATGGGTATGTAGTAACTACCACCCACATCGTGGGTATGTAGTAACTACCACCCACATCATGGCTATGTAGTAACTACCACCCACATCATGGGTATGTAGTAACTACCATCCACATCATGGGTATGTAGTTACCACCCACATCATGGGTATGTAGAAATTACCACCTACATCATTGGTATGTAGTAACTACCACCCACATCATGGGTACGTAGTAACTACCAGCCACATCATGGGTATGTAGTAACTACCACTCACATCATGGGTATGTAGTAACTACCACCCACATCATGGGTATGTAGTAACTACCACCCACATCATGGGTATATAGTAACTACCACCCACATCATGGTTATGTAGTAACTACCACCCACATCATGGGTATGTAGTAACTACCACCCACATCATGGGTATGTAGTACCTACCACCCACATCATGGCTATGTAGTAACTATCCCCACATCATGGGTATGTAGTAACAACCACCTAAATCATGGGTATGTAGTAACTACCACCTACATCATGGGTATGTAGCAACTACCACCCACATCATGGGTATGTAGTAACTACCACCTTCATCATGGGTATGTAGCAACTACCCCCCACATCATGGGTATGTAGTAACTACCACCTAAATCATGGGTATGTAGTAACTACCACCTACATCATGAGGATGTAGCAACTACCACCCACATCATGGGCATGTAGTAACTACCACCTACATCATGGGTATGTAGCAACTACCACCTACATCATGGGTATGTTGTAACTACCACCCACATCACGGGTATGTAGTAACTACCACCCACATCAAGGGTATGTAGTAACTACCACCTACATCATGGGTATGTACTAACTACCACGCACATCATGGGCATGAAGTAACTACCACCCACATCATGGGTATGTAGTAACTACTACCCACAATATGGGTATGTAGAAACTACCACCATCAGGGGTATGTAGTAACTACCACCCACATCATGGATACGTAGTAACTACCACCTACATCATGGGTATGTACTAACTACCACCCACATCATGGCTATGTAGTAACTACCACCCACATCATGGGTATGTAGTAACTACCATCCACATCATGGGTATGTAGTTACCACACACATCATGGGTATGTAGTACCTACCACCTACATCATGGATATGTAGTAGCCACCACCCACATCATGGATATGTTGTAACTACCACCTACATCATGGGTATGTAGTAACTAACACCTACATCATGGGTATGTAGTAACTACCACCCACATCATGGGTATGTAGTAACTACCACCCACATCATGGGTATGTAGTAACTACCACCCACATCATTGGTATGTAGTAACTACCACCCACGTCATGGCTATGTAGTAACTACCACGCACATCATGGCTATGTAGTAACTACCCCCCACATCATGGCTATGTAGTAACTACCACCTACATCATGGGTATGTAGTAACTACCATCTACATCATGGGTATATAGTAACTACCACCCTCATCATGGGTATGTAGTAACTACCACCTACATCATGGGTATGTAGAAACTAAGACCTACATCATGGGTATGTAGTAGCTACCACCTACATCAGGGGTATGTAGTAACTACCACCTACATCACTGGTATGTAGCAACTACCACCCACATCATGGGTATGTAAATAACTACCACCTACAT